GTTGAACTCCAGCATCACAAAGTAGAGTACCTGGCCTTGTACATTTCTGTTGCGGTAAATCCGGCATTTGTTTACAAAGCGACTCGTGTGGAAATGCAGCTAACATTTCAACAATTAGACAGAAAGTATCTACATCAACAAGTTTTCCTATTCTGAATTCAACCACATCAGTAGCAATTTTGGGCACATGAAAAAGAAAAATTTGGTTTGGCAACGTGGCTTGTATATGACCTTTAATCTGCAAGCCTATCAAAGATGAAAAGTAATTAAAAGCTTTGGCAGTCCATTTTTCTTCAATCGGAAGGACATTTGCAAAAATCCCATAAACCATCTTTGGAGGAAGCTGAAACAATTCATCAATGGGAGATGCAAGGTGAGTTTCATGCACTGCCAGTATTTTTCCATTGTCCATAAAATGTACATCATAGGTATCATGTCTTTTTTTTATTACTTTTCCTCTGTACCATTCTCCACACTCCGAGTCTTTGACTAAACAGAATTCACCAACTGCAACAGAAGCTTTCAGTTTTGGTACTTGCTGTATTTCTTTTTGCAATATATGATAATCAAGCTCACATTCTGTGTTAAATTGGCCTTGAAATTTTACAAGGACTTCTTTTCGATGGTAGTATACATCAGTTACCTTCACATCAACATCTAGAAATGTTGTTGATGAAGATGAATCCATCCTACCTGAAAAAACAGTATAAAATTTAACATTGTTAAATGTTTATTTTTCATTTTCACATAACTTGTTTATAAACGATTTTGATTATATTGACACAATCATATGTAATAGAGATGTTACAATCACTTCTATTATTAGCTAAAGAGGTAGTTCTGTTGTACACCAAAATATGCAGAACTTCAGACTGACAGATTTTAAAATATTAATAAATTGAATTATTTAATAGAATATGAACAAGCTGTATGCTTGGGCATCCCTTCCCTTATCTCATGCTTTTAGTCCAACATTACCAATATAGGTTCTCCTTAATTAGATGAAGTTGTGCCACTAAATTAGAAATGAGAACATTTCAGGAGAAAAAGCAGAAAGAATATTACAGGGTGCATTCACACAGAGTACTTTTATAAATCAGGTACAGCCTGATAATAATTAAATAATGCAGCTATTGTTACTTTTAGGCCATAATTTGTGGAACAAGCCACAATCTAAGGTCCACACAGCACACAGTTAAATATAATAAAATAGGCCAGATTGTGATATGCCAGTTCAACTAGCAACAAACTATCTTCACAATTATACTTGGCTGGACAAATCTTTGTGAATGCAGTCTCCATGCATTAAATATTAGTTTATTACAGATAATCCTCAATTTATGACCACAATTGAGTCCACAATTTATGTTATTTATGGGAATTTTTTTACGTGAGTTTTGCCCCATTTTACAACTTTTCTTGCCACATTTGTTAAATGAATCACTGCAGTTGTTAAATTAATAACACGGTTGTTAAGTGACTCTGGTTTCCCCATTGACTTTGCTTGCGAGAAGGTCACAAAACCTTCTTACATGACTCTGGGACACTGCAGCCGTCATAAACGAGAGTCAGTTGTCAAGCATCGGAATGTAAATCACATGACCCTGGGAATGCTACAACAGTCCTAAGTGTGACAAGTCACTTTTTTCAGTGTCGTTGTAACTTTGGTCACTAAATGAACTATCGTAAATCGAGGACTACCTGTATTGGACTTTCAACACATTCTCATTCAAAATGTCCCCATTACAAAATGTCTTAAAAGTTTCTCTTTCGGCTTACTTATTCATCAAATTTACATGACCCATCTTACCGCACCAAAATTGTGACTCAGGGCAGCATATAATAAACCAGTTCACTTATCCCCCTCCCCCCAAAAAAACGTTATTATTCGGGGGGGGAGGAGTAACAAAAATTGCAATTAAAGGCTAAGAGAAGGAGCAAATACCAACAACCAGGGAGCCACACCTAAGTACCAATGACCATCACCTCAGTATTAACTGGTTAAATTTCACATTCTGGATTTGCCAACCAGCGAGAAACAATTAGCAAAACAATTAGCACAGGAAAACAAGCTTTAATCACACACACACACACACACAAAATGCCTCATTTGAAAAGACAGCGAATCCACAGACCTCTTTGCCTTCTAAGTATTATTATCTAAAGCCAGTTTCCCGCTCAGGGTAGTATCGATGAACTCCTGGTTAAAGCGGCTCTTAAGCCTGCTAATGGTTTGTCTATCTTAGGTTTTTTTAATGGCAACTGAACTTGCAGAAATAAAGAGATACTTTTGCCCCCACCCCAAAAAAACAAAAAAAGCTGAACGGGCTGTGTGTGTGTCGAGGCTGTTTCTTCCAAGGTTTCTTGATCGGTGGGGCGTTATTTATAAAGAGAATTCAGGCGAGGAAAGGATTCTTCGCCCACAATCCGTAGTGGCCAAAGTGGCTCTCGGCGACTCTGAGCGCCGATTCCCCACCACCAACGCCGCGGGCCTCCTTAGCCTCCGCCCGAAAGCGCCTTTGCGGATCCGGCTGCGCAAGCAGCGTAAAGGAAGGGGCCGCTGCCTTCTGATTGGCAGTTTTCTCAAAGCGGGGAGAGGGCGTGGCGGGCGTGGCTAGGGCGCGGCGGGCGTGGCTAGGGCGCGGTGCGAGAGGCAGAGCGGGGAAGGCGGAGCCTCTGGATGGGGCGTGGCGGGGGTGGAGAAGGCGCGGCAGCTGAGCGACGGCGGAGGCATGTTTTTTTTTTTTAAACGTTTAATTTCAATTCGAGCAAATGTCGCTTTTTTTTGGCCGCGTCACAGCAGCGGGGTGGGCGTAGGTGCCAGAAAGAAGTGGGAGAGGGAGGGCTGTTCCAACGTATTTTCCAAAGCACTAGAAGGCAAAAGCGAGAAGCAATGGATGGAAGCTAATCAATGAGAGGAAAAACCTGGAATAATTAAGGAGGAACTTCCTAACAGTGAGGACAATTCACCAGTGGGCTTTGCCTTCAGAAGTTGTGAGTTGCTAGTGCTAACATCACTGGAGGTTTTTAAGAAGACACTGGACAAACATTTGTCTGAAATGGTACAGGGTCTCCTGCTTGAGCAGGGGGTTGGACTAGAAGACCTCCAGGGTCCCTTCTGGCTCTGTTGTTATTATTATTATTATTATTATTATTATACACAAAATGACAATATACACAGCAAACGAAATAACCATGCTGGATTTCGTATCCCAAATCACTAGTCGAACACTTCCCAAGCATTTAGGACTGTGTGATGTATTGGCAGATTATTATTATTATTATTATTAATAATAATAATAATAATTAATAATAATAATAATAATAATAATTCCTTTTACTTTGGAAAAAGTAAAGAATTCATTATCCCTAGTCAGATTTTTGCTTTCATTCTGCTCAAACCTTTCCTTACATATTATCTCTCAGCGAAAGGGGCCGCATGTTGTTAATATTTCAATGGTAGTTGATAGCCAAAGACATCTGTACTTCAGTCCATACTGTTATAATTTAGCCCATACCAGGTTATGCTGGAGATGAAGCCCAGCAGCCTTGAAATAATCTCAAAAAGTTTAAAAACCATGAGTTAGAGAAGTATTAGATTGCCTGTTAGGAAGAATCCTCACGTTTACTGTAAGATTGTAATAACATAAATAGAGTGTCCCATTGTATTTCTGCAAAATTTGTTTTTCAGGGTTACTAAGTCTTTGCTGTAGATGAATTTTAAACAGGAACGAAAACATACATGTCAAAATAAAAATAAAATACAGGTAGTCCTTGATTTATGAGCACAATTGAGCCCAAAACTACTGTTGTTTCATTTGTTAAGTGAATTTTGCCTCATTTTACAACTTCTTGCCATAGTTGTTAAGTGAATCGTTGCAGTTGTTAAGTTAGTAACACGGTTGTTAAGTGAATCTGGCTTCCCCATTGACTTTGCTTATCAAAAGGTAGCAAATGGTGATCACATGACCCCCCAGGACATGGCAACCGTCATAAATATGAGTCAGTTGCCAAGCATTCAAATTTTGATCATGTGACCAAGGGGATGCTGCAGTGGTTGTAAGTGTGAAAAACGGTCATAACTCACTTTTTCAGTACCGTTGTAACTTTGAACTGTCACTAAATGAACTATTTTAAGTCAAGGACTACCTGTATAAACTCAGTGCAACCTGGGTAATATTTCTTAAGCAGATGGTGATGTAGGACACTATTTAAAGTTAGACTCACTTCATGTTACATGATTGATCACCTTCATCATGTCCCCATCTGAGTCTTTTTTTTTTAAGCTACGGTCCCAAACAGTGGTGGGATTCAATTTTTTTAACAACAGGTTCTGTTGTTTTTGCCTCAATGTGCATCACTTTACATTAAGTTGAATTAATGGTCCATCAACTGGTGGACCTTTCATCCAGTTAAATATATTCTTCTGCAATCCTTCAGTAGCTTTGATTTTTTTTAAAAAAAATCAGCCTGCACAGTTTATATTGTCTGAAAATTTGGTCAGCCTACTGCTTATCCCAAGAGAAGATAGTTTATAAGAAGTTTTAAAAGCACCATTTTGAATACAGATCCTTGAGAAATTCCATTTCTTAATAATCTCTATTGCGAAAATTACCCATTTATTCCTCCATTTAACTTTTTGAAGCCATTTAGAAATTCATAAAAAGACAGATTATCTTATTCCATAACTGCTAAATTTACTCAGAGCCTTTAATGGAGAATACGGTCAAAAGCTTTTGAAAATCCAAATATTCACAGTTAAACTTGTAAACAAGACATAATATTTTGCCTTCTGCATTATTACAGGGACATTACTCTAAAATCCCTTTTAAAAAACATGTTTGCCCATGTGAAACTGGAGATGTTGAAATAATGCAGCATGTGTTATTTTATTGTACCATCTATAGATATATTTGTAATAGCAATAGCAATAGACTTATATACTGCTTTACAGTGCTTCACAGCTCTCTCTAACTGGTTTACAGAGTCAGCATATTGCCCCCAACAATCTGGGTCCTCATTTATAATGGATGGAAGGCTGAATCAACCTTGACTCTGGTGAGATTTGATCTGCCAAACTGTTGGCAGCTGGTGATCAGCAGAAGTAGCAGTAGCAGGAGTGCAGTATTGCACTCCATGGCTAATACCTAAATCCTGCCTCTTTTACATCAGTACCCTGGATGGTACGACAAAACGTAGGTGACCATCCTTTTCTTGGATTGTAAGCCAGTTAAACTCAGATTGTAGCAAAACATTGGTGCAGAAATTATGAAAATTAGGCATCAATTGGTGAACGGTCTTCCATAATTTTAATATTTTAATTTCATCTATTAAAATTGCCTGTGTTACTCTAGTTTCATTTAAGACTTTTTAGCTGTTTTCAGTTGTATCTTTTATCACTCTCCGTTAGCTATAACAAAGGTTCATTTACTCATTTGATCACTGTTATTGATCATTTCCCTCCATGTGTCTGCTGAAACCCTCCAAAAATGTTTGCAAGTTCTTGCGAATTTAAATTGTGGAATCTATACCCTGTTTCATCCAAAATAAGACATCCCCTGATAATAAGCCCAATCGGGCTTTTGAGCGCATGGCAATAAGGCCAAGTGCTTATTTCAGGGTTCAAAAAAATATAAGATAGAGTCTTATTTTCAGGGACACATGGTAGGTAATCCTCACTTAACGGCCATTCATTTAGCAACCATCCAAAGTTAACGGTGGTGCTGAATGAATGGTTCTAACATTAGTCACGTGATAAAAATTTGACACTTGGCAGCCCGCCCACATTTAAGATCACAAGGGTGCTTCAACTCCACCTATCTTCCCCTTCCCCCATCTCTGCTTTGGCTGCCACGTACAGTGGCACTCCTTGGTGGTAGTTCTAGGACTAATGCAGCCTTAAGCAGTCTCAGCTGGCTGTCCCGAACCCTGATCTCTACTTCAGCTCCAGTGCTCCCACCATTGGGGAGTGCTGTCTCAAGCCCCATATCGTGGTCAGCCACCCCAGGGCCACAGCACAAAGTGGCAGCTCCTCCCAGCACTCCACAGCAATCTGACTCCTTTTAAGGAAAAAAAAATGATAGCATCAAAATATAATTTAAAAAACCATTTTTATTAAAAATAAGAAACAGGGAAATGTAAAGCTCCCTTTTTAATTTTAGGGAATTAAATGCCAACAATTATAAGTGGATTCGGTGAAGTATTTAGCACCCATAACCATGAACAGCAGTTTAAACATCAGTGTCCCACACAATAGTACAAAAGAGAAGTTAAGATTGCTGAGCAGCACATGCAATGAGTCACCAGTTCATTTTTGTCTGGAAATGTTCCACATTACACAAAAAAAGAACCGCACAATCCCACAGAGCATTTGTAGCAAGCATATATATAGAGACAGTAATGATAGATACTATATTAAAATTTCTGAAACCTTACAGCATGTAATTATGCGCATATTAAAATAAAGCATAGAATTCTGATGGAGAATTCTAGCTAAACCCATAGAGCTATAATTTGGGGATAAACGGATAAGGAATATTTATTTTCTGCAGTTGTTTCTGTCTCACTTTCCTATTAGTTTCAGAATGATCTTCCTTCATCTCTTTCTCTCCCAGAAATTTCTGCAAAGATCTCTCTACTAGACCAAAGACTGAAGAGCAAGTTGACTTTAGAATGCATTCCATCATTAATTGTTTAAAACATTTATATACCCAATTCTGAATTTAAAGAATTTAAAGAATAACCATTTAAAAACTATAAAAGTAAACATTCTCCTTTTTCAGAGATTTACTACCTCCATCTTTGCTTCCCTATGTTTCAGGATCTTCTTTGATCTCCCCCAGATCTGTTTTCTGGAAAAAAAAACTTAGTGAAGAAAGAAGAGATTTATCTGGATACATGGTGCCCTTCTTGTCTATTCATTACCAGTTGGTTCATTTTCCTTACTTTATGGAATACATTCGAATTGAAATTATTGGGATTTTAAAAACCCTCCAGGTACTAAGAAGAGATTGGGTCCTTTTGTTGTATCATTTTAGTCTTTTCATTATCCGTTCCCTCATTTTTCGAAGTTGCCTTTTGTAATCAAAGATTTCCATTTTGTTATCAATCAATTTGCCAGTTAGTAAACTGTTGGAGAACAAGTTTTCAGAAACCATAAAGATCAAAGAGTTTTCTGCTGCCAGGTCTAAAAATAAATACTTTTTTTTCTTAAAATGTGAGCAAGAAAATTAGAGAAATTTACCTAACTTTATTAAAATTTATATTAACCTTGGAGTATTTCACAGAAACTGGTGTTTGGATTTCACTTGCATGCTTGATGCTTGTTGAATGTTTTCAGATTAGTGTGGGAGAGGTTGTATTGACATACTGTAGTGGTAAGCCATTTATTATTAATTCTATTATATCCTGTGTGATATCCTTGAAAATGTATTAAGCCTTCAAACAAAAATATATGAGAGTTTTTAGAAGTATGAAAAGCAATCTTGAGAAGCTCTTTGAACCCTATCTTCTGCCAATTTAGAGTTTAAATAATGCTCTGAATTCTGCCTACACATTTTGCTGTCCATAGATTAACAATACATGTTATTAAGAGCCAATTTCAGACAAGCATGCTAATAACTACAGGTTAAAGCAGTGACTCACTATTGTGAGAGAAAATTACAGAGTTGCACATTCTCACATAAATGCAATCATTAGCAAAACATTCTTAATTGAGTAAGCTAAGTATGCATAAAGTAGGGCTACCAGATCTGAGCTGCAAAGAGCTTTCTTTTGTCTGGTCATCCAGATTTTTTTCTGTTTATATCTGATACCTTGAGAGATTTTGATTGTAAACCAATACCATGAATGATATAGAAAACTGCTTTGCTCCAAGTCAGATCAATTGTCCATCTAGTCCAGTACTGGCAATAGTAAAGGCAATACACTTGGAATTCTGGATTTTAACTAGAATTTTTTTTTCTGCAAAGCATGTGCTCTATTACTGAGTTATCACCTTCCCTTATCTGGGGAATAGATGTAAGTCCTGTCAGATATAGTGAAAGTAAGTGTATATACAGTTGCAACAGAAATGAAATTCAGGTGATCCAAGCTTTAACATCTTGAAAGTTTGGTCAAGAGCCTCTTGATCAAACCTACAATTTGAAAGTGCTCTGTTGGCAATAAACTCCAGAGAAAATCAATAGAACTTAGTTCGAACAGATGTTTTCTGTAACAGGTCACAGCCTTTCCACATATAAAAAAGCAACCAGAGGATCAACAATATATCAAAAAAGAAGAAGAAGCTGCTGCTTTGGTGACAAAGAGACATTGGCTGCAAACTATTCTTGCTGAAAATAGTCACTGTACCTATTTTGCACTCTATTGTCCCAGGATTTATTTTTTAAAATTTTATTGCCACTTCACCCAGCAAAATACAAAACTGGGAAGAGTTATTTCATTCTGTTGATGAAGAAGGCTTATGTCATAAATTTGCTTGGGATCCAGGTGCTAAGACTGTCATTTTTTGCTGCAACTGGCTAATAAGACTATCTCTCTGAAAGTTTATTGGTCAGCTGTCCCAACCTGGTCAGTTAGAAAAGAAAAGGCTATTGAGTCCATTGCTAGTGAAAGAACACTTTACTAAAGCCAAGTAGTTCCAGCGTAGCAAATCTGAATCTAATTTTTGATGCCAAAATCATCTGGTTAACTCTTCCCTTTTCCCCACCGTTCCCTCTGGATGTCTCCTATTGTCCAATTACATTCAAACAAATTGTTTTGTTAACAGTCTCTGGTTTGGCAGGCTGGAGAGTGTTGTATTACATGGTGTGACCTTGGACCAGCCAGTAGCTCTCATGGGATGGCACGGTGAGTAGTTTTGATTCCCCCTTATCCCAACTCCTTGCCTCCCCGCAGCTCCCTCTCCCTCTGCAGTAGACTGGCATCTGACAAGGATGGCTGCTGCAGCAGGATGACAGTCCTGACATTATTGTACTTAGGTGGTAAACATGGAAAGGGGGGAAATGAAAATGTCACCTAATTATTTTTATATGGTATTACAGCTTGACTGTTTGGAAGAAGCAAGAGAAAGGAGGATAGGTGAGCAAACAAAAGAGGAATTAAGAAGCCCATTGAAAAAAAAGGGAAGGCGAACTGATCGCTAAACTATGTTTGCAAATGGATTTCAAAGCTTATTTCACAAAATTGGGGAAAATATGAACAAGGAGGATTAAGAAAATTTTCAATGATTTTTTTTTCTGTTAGAATAATGTATGCAGAAGACAAACTATTGTGCCTACTCTCTGGAATAGCATCCCCCCAAAATCTTTATTTCCTCCACCCACACCACTAACATTTAGAAAGCAATTGAAAGCTTGCATGTTCTCCTAAGCCTTGGGACAGCATGATGGCCACTGTGGGATGTTTTGGTTGTTGTGATGTCTCCTTTGGACAACTCCTCTGAATCTTCCTCAGAAGCCAGCTCGAGGGAGAATGAGATCATTCCTGGCACATTGGGAATTACTGACCTTGAACTGCGAGCAGAACAGGCTTCAACTCGGGACAGCTTGCAGGCCAGTGAAGAGGATGGAGAGGAACTGCCTGCCATGGTAGATCTCAGATCATGTAGGGCAGAGAAATGGCGGTCTGCCAGATAGCTTGGGAAAAGGCCCCGCCCCTCTTGATGGGCTGCACCGGGAGCTATTTAGCACAGCAGGCAGAGGGAGACGTTGCTGGAAGCAATGTGTGTGGGTTGTGGCTGTGTGCTCATTTGTGTTTCCTGAGATTCAGAATTTCTATAATCCATGAGCTAACATGGGGAAAGACAAATAAAACCCTCTGTAAATCCCACTGACATGTGAGTGTGAATGAGTGGGGCAGCACAGTTGTTTATACTGTTTGGCAGTAACAATTATTCTTTCCAATTAACTCATTTACAAAGAATGGCAGATGAGTAATATTTTCAAACATGGTTCCTAAGCCTATCTTGGGACATTTTTAAAATCATTTCCTAGGGACAGAATCTCCATTAAAGCAGTGTCATTCTGTTAGGAGGAGAAACATATGAAGAGAAGGGAATATTTCCTACCAACTGGCTGTAGGCATATTAGTTGGATAAAAGAACTGATGTAAGATACAGTAGAAAATAGCTGAGGTTTTTTTTTTAAACCTGCCATTAATCTACTTCCATGCCAAAGGCTAGATATATGAAAGCTTAGAGCTTTATGCCTTCTATTTCCAATTTAAGGTGGTGATGTCTGCTTAGATACGTCCTTTACCTGGACTGATCTGTGAGTGTATTTCTGGCAGGTAGAAGGATATATTTAAGCTCTCCTGCCAGAGAGATCTTACAGTTCAGATGGCCTCATTGGATGAAATTGAACACAAATGTATGAACTATAGATGCCTATGTCATCTGCTTGACACCTGTTGATTATATAAGGCTACGGTCAGTAGAATTTGACTTGTTTCAGAAGAAAATTCTTACTATATAATCCAAATAAAAAGACTTTGGTGCATGAATGTTACGGCAAAAATTACTGCCAAATAGTCCTAACCATGTGGACTGCCAGAAAATTACTATATTATAAAAAAAAAAAAAACCCAGCATTTTGCATGTACTTTACTTCTATAAAGTAGGAGGGTTATTGCAAAGCTTGATATTAGGCTGATTGTTTCTTCAGATTTGATTACAAGCACCATGTAGCTGCAAATGCGAATAGTTACGGCAACTATTCAGTTATTACTGGAATAATTGATAGACTGTCTTAATAGGCTATGATTTGAATCAGGATTATAGTATTATTATTATTATTATTATTATTATTATTATTATTATTATTATTATCTATGTGGAGCATATGAGAGAACCAGTTTGGTGTAGTGGTTGAGGCATCAGACTAGAAATTCAGGGACTGTAGGTCCTAGTCCCATCTGGGGCAGAAGGGTGACCTTGGGCCAGTCATGTTCTTTCAGTCCTAGAAAGAAGGCAATGGCAAACCACTTCTGAGAAACCTTGCCAAGAAAACTGCAGGTTTTTGCTCAGGTAGTTGCCAGGAGTTCACACTAATTCAAAGGCGACCCTTCCTCCTCAAAAAAAAATAAAAAATCATATGGAGCCTATGTATATTCCTATGAATTTGCCTTAAGTTGGCTAAAACCAGGGAAATGGTGCAACATGGCAGATGAAAGGAGGCAGGAGCATCCTATCCAGACACCCTCTTGTCAAGAAATCCCAGAATCTTCTGCTGCATCTCAGGGCAAACTAACAACATAGACTGCAACAATCCTATTAGTCAAGGTGACTAGGGATCAGAAGAGAATGCAAAGGTTATCTGGCAACAAAACATCCACCCCAGCGAAAAGCCTGCAAAAAGCTATTCACTCCCTATGTATAAACCAGCATGTTTTTTGACCCAGCATGTTTGTATAAAATTTTATGTTTGAAATGGAGGGGGGGGGTTGTCCAAGAATTGTACAAAATACATCAAGAAATTGCAGCTTCCTGCACTATCACCAGCGGAACTGCAGAAAAACTGTGCTACTCTGAACATCATACATTTTAAGAAGATACCATATTTTTTGGACTATAAGACACACTTTTTTGTCTCCCAAAAAGGGGTGAAAATGTCTGTGTGTCTTATAGACCAAATATTGCCGAAGCCTCGCCCACCCACTGGTCGTTTTTTGCCCTCCGCATGCCCCATTTTCGGGCCTTTTTTTGGCCTGTTTTCAGGGGGTTTTTTCAGCCTATTTTTGAGGCTTTTTTCAGCCCGTTTTTCAGAAAAAAGGGCCCAAAAAAACTCAAAATGAGCCAAAAAAAAAAAGCCTCAAAAATGGGCCAAAAAGCGTCAAAAGCGGGCCAAAATAAAGCCCCGAAAATGAGCCAAAAAAAAGGGCTGGAAAAGGCCCCAAAAAAGCGCCAAAATGGGGCGCATGGAGGCCAAAAACTTTTTTTTGTTGTTTTCCTCTTCCATATTTAGGTGCGTCTTAGTCTGGTATGTCTTATAGTCCAAAAATACGGTACTTGGTTGATGCCTAGGATGCTGGCATCAACCATCAGTGCCAGTCAATGATATTTGTGATACGTTTTTAAATGTTCAGTTGACTGAGTTTCATGTTTAATAATAATAATATCATCTTATCAGTGGCCGCAGCAAAATCTCATAAACTGATTATCTACAACATTATGATCGAGTTGTCAAAATCATACAAGGGAAGTTTTGCCAGAAGATTGGGCTCAAATGCAACAAAAATTACTAGAATCTTGTGGGGATTTTGAATCCAAACAGACAGACATCTGGTCCACAACACACCTGACATCACTATTGTGGAAAAGAAAACAGTCTGATTCAGTGATGTTGCATTACCAGGTGATGAATGAATTGAAGAGAGACAACTAGAAAAAATAATGAAATACTGCGATCTGCAAATTGAAGTTCATTATTGTGGAGGAAGAAATCAATGGTTGCACCAATAGTAATAGGAGCCCTTGAAGCAATATTGAAAGGGTTACCTAGATACATGGAAACTTTTAACTTATCAGACCTGAATATTCTGATTTTGCAAAAAACGACTTTACTCGGAACTGCCTGTCCCAGACTGTGAATCGAATTGAAGAGTGTGGCAAAATCGCACAAACTGATTTCAAAGCTAGTTGCTAAATTAATCCACTGGTCATTATGTAAAAAATACACCCTACCTGTATCCAAAAAGTCATGGGAACATAAAGTGGAAAAAGTTATTGAAACTGAGATGGTGAAGATCCTGTGGGACTTTTGAATACAGACGGATCGTCATTGTTGTGGTCCGCCAGCAGCCTGCGGAGCTGGCAGCGGAGTCAGACAGCAGTGAGGCTAAGGAAGAACATGGGCCAGTCCTGGAGGCTGGGGAAGGCCCGGATGAGGGCTGTGTGTCAGAGGCAGAGATGGGGCCATCTGGGAGTGAGGTGCGGACTCCAAAGCCTCCAGAGACTGATTTGAGTGAGGCAGAGGAACAGGAGGAGCCTGTTCCTAATGCACGCATGAGAAGAGCTGCCAGAAGGCAAGAGCAGCTCAAGCAAAGAGGACAACTCGGGAGTAGGGCCAAGAGATTATTGGCCCCTCCCATAAGGCTTAAAACAGACCAGCAACGGCATTTTGGGTTTGCTGGAAAACAACATTGGTAGCTTCGTCGTCTTCTTAGTTTATGTCTTGTATTTATTTTTGTATCTGTGACCTCTGAACATTTGCCAAGAAAGGCCTTTGGCAGTTTGCCTAATTGGACCAAGGTTTGCAATAGAACTGAAGAATTTGTGTTGGGAGGAATTTGCTTTAATTTAGTTGAACGACGGTGGGAATGAAGTAATTCTCAGCTGCTTGAATAAAGTTTGTTTGTTTTTTTCACTGACTGATTTTCCTACTACTTACTTGGGCCTGGGTCACAACAGTCATTTGGAACACAACATGCCAGATATCACAGTTTTCAAGGGATGAAGCATACAATTTATTGATATCGCTGTACCAGGAGATGCCAGAGTTGAAGAAAAAGAACTGGAAAAAATCATGAAATATCACGACCTGCCCATTGAAACTACACGGTTACGGATGAAACATGTAACAGTGATACACATTGTCATTGGGGCACTCGGTACCATGTCCAAGAATTTTACAAAACACATCAAGAAATTGCAGCTTCCTGCAATAACACCAGAGGAACTGCAAAAAACTGCGCTACTCGGAACATCGTATATTTTAAGAAGGTACTTGGTTGATACCTAGGATATTGGCAGCAACCCGTATCAACCATTAGCACCAGTCACTCGTGACACATTTTTAAATGTTAAGTTGACTGAGTTTCATGTTTAATGAATAAAAATGATGATGATGATGATGATGATGATGATGATGATGATGATGATGATAATTAAAAAAAATCATGCATTTCACAAAGGACAGAACTGAGTTTTTATCGTAACCACTTTTCTCTAGGGGTTTCTTTTGTGAACTAAAGCCACTAGATGGCAGACACATGTTTAGAAAAAAAAATGTTGACAAAGCTACTGAGGGCTTGAACATGCTTCGAATAGATATTTCAGTTAGTATTTGTGTTTAGTGTATTTTATAAAATATATACAGAAGCTGTAAATCTGCTACTTTTTTGTCATCTCTGTGATGGAGGATAGGAATCAATCCTCATCTGTTTTCCTACTTTATAGGATTTATGGGTCTCAGTATCATTATTGGGGTTGGTCCGCATTTTGTTGTTTTCCCTCCTTATATGAGACCCTGTTCTTACTACACCAAGATATGAAAACAATGTTTTTGTGTTGCACAGTATAGAGAATAGTTGCTGTAAAATAAAACTAAGAGAAGGGTGTTCCAGCTGCGTAACTTCATGGCATGCCCCTTATAAACCTGCATTGACAAATATCTGAGGTAACCTCCAGAGAAATTAAGTTGGTTAACCCTGGGAGTTAATAGTAGAAGGTTCACAGAGCAGTAGCAATCATTTTAATTTTGTTTATTGCCTTTACCCAAAACTGTTATCACCCCACTGGTTTCCCCCCCCCCCTTTTTTTTTTTTTTGTATTTTTCCTATATTTTAAGAGTAGGTTATCAGACACCAAGAGACAGGCAGCCTCCAAATTGTGCAAATAGAATAAATGAAATGAACTTTTTGAGAAAATCTATATAAGCAGTTGAACTTTTTTGCTCCTAGAAATTTTAAGTAGTCATTTGGCTGTTGTTTGGTAATAGTAAATGGAGTAGCATCAGCTAAAAGGTCCTGAGTTCAAATTTCTTCTCAGCCATTAGCTTATTGGTAACTTTTGATAAGGCAATTTTTCTGAGGTGCTCCATACCCATTTGTAATACAGCTGTAACTATCTATCATAGAAAGATTATTGAAGTGCTACACAGAGAGGAAACTATTCTTTTCCATTTGGGCATTGATTGCATAGCCATCATTTTTCTGTAAATGAACTCTCCATGAATTATTCCCATAGTGACCCTTTAGGTTTGGTTGGGCTGAAAGAAAATGACCAGTCCATAGTGATCCAGCTAAACTTTTTTCTGACTAAATATTGGAAACGTTTAAAGAGCTCTTCTTTATCAGGTCAAAGATACAATTTTTTTTCTCCTTTTTTATCTCTCACTATTATAACTAGATTTATTTCATAATCTAGGTTCATTGAGTCTACCCTCCACTTTAAAGTTTTGTTTAATTCTTAATAGTGTTATTTGATCAGCACGTTGGATACTTCAATTTTAGATGACATGATCAAATTGAAATATTTCCAGGATGGATGGTTGAGAGAGACTTTCTGTTCCAGGAACTGTGCATTTATTTATTTTCTCTGCCTTTCTGTTACCAGTGAATAGGAAGCCTTTTCCATTTATCCCATGATTATTATGTTTCCTCTAGAGTTTCCAGGGAAGGACTGGTGTAACCAAGTAAACAAGGATGATTCCAATCTGCACAGTTGTTGATACAAAGAACTCTGGATCCCTGAGTTAATTCCACATTCTCATTGTAGAATGTACATCTGTAGAGAATGCTGTAAAAATAAATATTTTCATCATTATTGAGCGCCTATTTTATTTTATTTTATTTGTCAAACATGCACAAAGTAGCAAGTAGAAGTATGAACGTAAACATGAACAAAGGAAATAAATACAGATAAATGGGGACCCTAGGTAGGCTATGTAATCTTGCTGGGTTTCATGGAAAAAGGAGTGAAAGTAAATAATTTTAATGGTTAAATTATTGGGAAATGATCCAATATTTTCTGAACTCAGTCATTCTGCTACGTTCTCTGTTGCTAAAACAGAACATGTAACTTGGGAAGGGGACAAGGCCTGTGGTTTAATTGAAAATATAAAATAAATGTGCTTAACATAATCATTCTTTCAAACTTTTTTTCTGCTATGCTACATATTACAAATGTAATGTAGAAACTCAGTGCCTACCCCTCTTAGAAGAATGAAATATTTTGGGAAATATTAAAAAAAGACAGAATATTATATTTCTCCAAAGAGACAAATGGAAAATCTTTTTTTAGAGGCAGAAAGCAGCCCCCACTTTGCTTAATAGCCCACAGTAGATGTCAGCACTTAAGAGATAAACAGCTTATTGAAAGAGGAAGACAAGTATCTAGATAGCTCTATACATAGCCAAACCAAATACTGCAGGCAGAAATCCATTCAAGACAGGATATTTTGAAACTCCCTGCAGCAAAGTCTGAACAAAGGCAGAATGGTAGGATTAGAAGCAGCCCCCCTCACTCAAGATCCAAAATAGGACAAAAGCCATTAAGCCACAATAGGAATTGCCCAACATCCTTTCAGAATACAAGCCCCTTCATTGCACCATCCCAGAGCAGTCCAAACTTCACCTGGGAGCTCAGATAAACAATAAGCCAGAGGCTGACCAGATTAGCTCAGACAAACACCTAGGATTTGCATTTCCTCTTTTGCCTATAGAACCAGCTATGACCCTTACATGACCCCATAGGAATCTGACCACAGCCAATAGAATACATGTTTTTGTGCAGGAACAGGAAGCTCAAGTGCAAAGCCCAAAAGAAGGTATAAAAGCCACCCACTCTCAACTCCATTTTGGTCAGCTGCACCAGAACCACACACCCATGTGGTTCTACTTCATCAATAAACTATCTTTCCAGTGTTTTTCTCCCAGCTTGAAACTGAACCAGATGGACATTTCTTCCCACAGTGACATTTGAAGAGGCTCTGAAGCTACAGTCTGATCTTCAGAGGTTTCGTTTGGGTTCCCCCACCCCAGCCCCTGTCTTTCTGTCATGTAACTCCAGAGCTTTGTTTATCTTATAGTCTTCCATTCAAAGTATTGCAGAATTAGAAACAAGTTGCTGAATAACTTTTTGAATACCTGTTTTGTATTTTGGATTGCCCTGCAGCAAAAGGACTTATTTTGTGCAGAAATATCCAAATGGCTAATAAAGACAACCTATAAATAAAAGTGTATTCAGTCTAAAAACAGTCTTTTCTGTTTCAGATTGTCAGTTAGATTGGGAGGTTTCATTTTTTTTCCTTAATCTAATAATGCAGAACAGTGTGTTAACCATTATGTTTGACTTGTTAAACATTTGACATTTACCCTTTGTTTACAAACAGAAGTGGTGACCCGGAGCTGCCTCTTTTTTTGACATTTGCTATTGGTCAAGGCATTAAACATGAAAAAGCACAGGACAAGTAAACACAGAGATCATGCCGCGTCTACATGATTTTTCAATTTTTTTAGTGAATCATGAACTTTTATTATAAATATTCAGGTACATATGTAGCAGAAACACCAGTCTGACTGGGAAGTTGGATGATCAGGCCCACCAAAGTCATTCTTCTTCAGCAGCTTTTCCTTAGGTTTACATGCAGCCATACATAGAAAGACTCTCTAAATATTTAGTAGTGTACTATAATTTTAACCCTTATATGAACCTAGCAACTGAATGTTACGTATAGAGAAAAATATACTCTGAATTTCTTCTTTTACTTGGATTCATAAAGACGTTCATACTGGGACACACACATACACACACACCGGCCTCAAAAATTGGTTGAACTCCTTTCAACCTGATAGGTGCTTCTTGTATTTTAAAAGTCATTTGTAGGAGAAGGAGAGGCAGAGCCTAGAGGCAGAGTCAGGAGAGGAATCAGCCTGGAGTCATTACATTCCCACAAGTGGTTTAAGCTCAATCCTTCTTGAATTCCGTTGACTCTTATTTAGTGCCAGTTTAGTGCTGACCATTTGCTGACTAGGGGTGCAGTGGGGGAGCAATTAAGACACTGGACTCATCAACGAAAAGGTTGGCAGTTTGAGACCCAAGCACTGTGATGGGGTGAGCTCCATCACGCAAATGGAAATAGATAAATAGGTACCATTTCAGTGGGAAGGTAACAGCATTCCATTCACCTCAGCATATAGTCATGCTGGCCAAATGACCACAGAAATGTCTTCAGACAATACTGGCTCCCTTGGCTAAGAAAACAAAATGAGCACACACAGAGAGACACAACTGGATAGGGTAAGCCTTTACCTTTTATTAGTTGGCTAGATTTTTGTGTATAGACATAGGCAATAAATAATCTTAACTGGAATTTAATGTGTGGTCCTGATTCTTCAGGCCTGACACATTTGTTTGTTAGACATAATGCACTTTTGAAGATGGCATTGCTATGTAGACTTATCTGGACATAAGTCCATTAGCTTCATTAGAGTTGTTTATAACTGAATTTCCTACCAAATAAATATCCATGGAATGGCATCATGGGAAGGTTTTCCGTATATCCTGTGTTCCAGTCATATTGGCATTTATTGGAGAACTATCTTCTTCTATTGGGTTAAAAGAAGTTAGAATCTGTCCATGTAGCATGTTGATGTCCACTTAGCATGTTCATGTCCATGTAGTACAAATGCATCTGAGACCAACACACAGGTAATTTTACATTGCCCCCATTACCAATTAGTTGTGAAACTTCATTCTTGTTTTTTTGAAATGTTATAGGTCATAATTTTTCTTGATTTTCCCACTTAAGACACCATTTATTATTAATCACATTTGTATGCTATTGCATATGACATTGCTAGATTTTACCAATGGCAATTAAAATTCACAAACAGATAATTTGTTTATCCCACAGCATGGGTAAATTATTGCAATTTTTTCTTCATTTTAATCTTTATCTATTTTTACATCCTTTCTGAGACTTTCAAAGGCCTTTAGTCTATAGACTTAGTATTAATATTAAGAATTTTATAGAGATTTTAATGTTTAGTATTATAATAGTGCTAGAGGATCCTGAGATCCTGAGAATCTAGCACATGACTCGGCTGAGGACCTGGTAGCCGCCTGGGATCGGGCGGCTGGTGGGGCCTTGGACCGAGTCGTGCCTTTGCGGCCTCTGACCCGGTGCCGATCCCGCGCAGCTCCTTGGTTTACTGAGGAGCTGAGGGAAATGAAGTGCCGGAAAAGACGCCTGGAGAGCGGTTGGAGGGCCAGTCTCACTGAATCTGATCGAACACTGGTAAGGTCGCATATTAAGACCTACCTAGTGGCGATAAAGACTGCAAAGTTTAATTACTTTTCCGCCTCTATTGCATCATCAGGGAATCGTCCGGCCGCCCTGTTTAGGGTGACCCGCTCCCTGCTCCATCCGGGAGTGCGGGAGGATCCCCTGGAAGGCAGGGTGGAGGATTTCGGACAATACCTGTATGACAAAATCTCTCAGATCCGGGGGGATTTGGACTCTGACTGGATAGATCAGGGCAGGGTGACAAGGAATAGTCTTGAGAATGTTATCTGGGAGGAGTTTGATGCTGTGACTCCCGATGATGTGGACAGGATTTTGGGGAGACTTAGTACGGCCACATGTTTACTGGACCCGTGTCCCTCCTGGTTGGTACTGGCTTCCCGGGAGGTTACACGAGGCTGGCTCCAGGGTGTTATCAATGCTTGGTTGAGTGAGGGTTACTTCCCCGCTGCCTTGAAAGAGGCGGTGGTGAGGCCTCTCCTCAAGAAGCCGTCCCTGGATCCGGCAATATTGGCCAACTATCGTCCTGTCTCCAACCTTCGCTTCATGGCGAAGGTTGTTGAGAGTGTGGTCGCGCGACAGTTTCCACAATTCCTGGAGGAAACATCTTATCTAGATCCGTTCCAGTCAGGTTTCAGGTCTGGGCACAGCACGGAAACGGCATTGGTCATGTTGGTTGATGATCTCTGGAGGGCTCGGGACAGGGGTTGCTTCTCTTTTCTGGTCCTGTTAGACCTCTCAGCGGCTTTTGATACCATCGACCATGGTATCATGCTGCACCGGCTGGAAGAGTTGGGGGTGGGAGGCACCGTATTGCGGTGGTTCTCCTCCTTTCTCTCCGACCGGTCGCAGTTTGTGTTGGCAGGGGGGCAGAGGTCGACCTCGAGGCCTCTCGTCTGTGGAGTGCCGCAGGGATCGGTCCTCTCACCCCTTCTGTTCAACATTTATGTGAAGCCGCTGGGCGAGATCATCCGTGGCTTCGGGGTGAGATACCATCAGTATGCTGATGACACCCAGCTGTACATCTCCACCCCAGGCCACCCCAACGATGCCCTTGAAGTGATGTCTCAGTGCCTGGAGGCTGTGCGGATCTGGATGGGGAGGAACAGGCTCAAGCTCAACCCTTCCAAGACTGAGTGGCTGTGGCTCCCGGCATCCCGATATAGTCAGTTGACTCCATCACTGACTATTGGGGGCGAGTCCTTGGCCCCCACAGAAAGGGCTCGCAATCTGGGAGTCCTCCTGGATATGCAGCTGTCCTTGGAGGAACATCTGACGGCTGTAACCAGGGGGACCTTTTATCAGGTTCGCCTGATTCGCCAGTTGCGGCCCTTTCTTGATCGGGATTCCCTGTGCACAGTCACTCACGCCCTCGTCACCTCTTGCCTTGACTACTGCAATGCTCTCTACATGGGGCTCCCCTTGAGGGGCACCCGGAGGCTCCAGCTGGTCCAGAACACAGCAGCGCGGGTAGTGATGGGAGCAGCATGGCGCTCCCATGTAACACCGCTCCTGCGCG